GGTTGAAAGGTGCAGATATCGCAGCTTAGCTATAAACCTCAATATAATGTGCAACAGTCTTGTAATGAAGAAGATACCGAAGAATAAACTATATTTCTTCTTCCAACAGTTTGTTACCTGCTTGAAATTGTCAGTTCTTTATTAATATCTTACCCTCAGATGACGTCACAGGACAGTCCAACATTTTAGAGGGTGGTAAGATTGGATTTCCCGGCTTTCTGATTCTTTTAACGACCCCAAAACATTTAGAATTGGCCCTAAACCCAACCCACCTACGTCCAACGAGAGACTGCAGCCTAGGTCCCACGACTGCATGCAGCCTATCTACCACTCCTTGCAAATTTTACTGTCTTGTGACCTGTGGATTTCCTCTGTTTGGGGTAGGATATTAATATAGCACCAAATTGTCAATATGAACCAGTGAAATTTCGCCACAAATGTTGCTTGATAAAGGCAGAAAAAAAAAAAAGAATTTCCCAAAGTGCTATGAGGAGGTATGGGACTCACAGCCAACGGTAATGGTGAATATGACTAGTAAGATCTGTCCGCATTAAGAAAAGTCTTCCACAATAAGAGCATGAGATTTCATGACCGTTGTTGCCATCACTTATGTTTGGTGTGCTTTATCTCACACGCCCAGCTCTCATCCTTTTTACACTCACGTTTTCCTTCATTCTCACCCCCCTCCTGATTTGCACATTCACGCAACACGATCAGTTGCATTTTGTTCCCACGAATCTACCTCAATACCTGTACAATTAATGTCCCGCTTGGGCAGTCTTTATATGACAGCCTCGATATCTTCTACCTATCTGTAATTCAGAATATAAGGTGTCCTTTAGGGACTCTAATATTCTCCATGTATGACCCAGCCTTCTGAACCTTCAGAGCCCGCACATTGAGAAAACTGATGTAAAAGCTGCTCTTTCCAATACATCAGTGCTTGTGATCTTGTCCTTTCACATAATTGAAAGCATTCTTCTTAGGTAGCGGCTGGCCGAACGGTTAGAACGCTGGGCTCTTAAGCAGGAGTCACGGGTTGGAATCCTCGGTAAGGCTGGGGATTTTATCTGTCGGGGGCAAAATAAAATCCTCATCTGCAGAGTCGAGGCGATAGCACTTGCCATGCAGCCTTAAATTCTCAGGTTCAAAGACCCCCGCCTACACTACAACAGTGGTATAAAAACGGCAGTAACTGGTTGTTTTATTAATTTTTAAGCATAGCAGGCGAAAGCTCTTAAGCCGACTCTTCCCAAATAAAATGACCCAAGTTTTCCTTCTATAAAGAAGAATACTGAAAATACAACCCTGATAGAACAGTTTTTTTTTTTCTTTTAAATCGAAAGCACTCTGTTTTCCCAAAATCTTTTTCCTAATCTGCTCATTGCTGTTGCTGCCTTACCAATCTTGATGTTGATTTCTTGGTCTGTTATTCACTGTGGATCTCAGATAGATAAAATGGTCAACTGTCTCCAGCTCTTCGTCATCAGTGTAGACTGCAGGTCTATCATTAATACCTTGCACAATAATCGTTGTCTTTTTTTCTTCTTCTGCGGATTGTTAGACCAATTCACAGCATGGATGAGCACACGCAGATAGTAAACATTATAGTCCTGTCCGTGTGGGTTCCGGGGCTCTATTATAAAGGGAAAAAGAATAGACACCTGCCTTCTCAAAAGCATGTTGTAAGAGTCGTCTAATTGGAAGCTTCTTTCGAAGTCGAAGTACTTCTGCCTGAGAGACAAGGAACCAACAGTCTGCGTACGCAACACCCATGTTCTGGAACAGGAATGCAGTTCAGATATGGATGAACAACCAGAGTTCTCCGCCAGAGTTACAGCTGGTGAACGCGAAGAAGAAGAAGATCGTAGTTCCTCCTCTGGTGATTGATAACTGCTGCATCATTTGCAAACAGCAGCTCTCTGATGAGCAGCTTCTTGAATGCCAAAGGGCGCCTCAGATATATGACTGGCATTATATATAATTCTGTCTATGTGACACAAAAAAGCCACAGTTCGATGATGGGGATAATATCTGATTCATCAAAGCAAGATTTTCTTTCATATAATAATTCGCCATTTAGCAGGTCAGGCAGCTGGACACGGTGTGAACTGACCCGGTATTTAGCAGGGCATATGTTCCATTGACATTATTTATTCATGAGTGAGGAATGAGTTGATTCACAAGCGGTTTTCACCTCGGGAAAGGGGGGGGGGAGGGAAGGTTGCGTGGTCTCGAGGCATGGTTTCCGCCTCAAGTGCTAAAGGTTCCGGGTTCAATTCCCGATGAGGGTTGGAATTTTTACACGTGTACTTGAACTTCTAGTAATTCCCCCTAGTCTCTGGGTAGTGAAATCAGACGCCCACGTGCATTGTTGCGCACATAAAAAATCCCTTGGCAGTTGGAAATCGAAAAGAGTAGCCTAACGGCGATGCCCGAGCAAAATTTGGACTTAAAAATCTACATAAGGTATTTCAGGATACTCGCCAGTGCCACAGAGCCTGGGAAGCTGTATTAAGCTTCTTCAGACTCAGACTTGAGTTAGAAGAAGAACGGATCATTTATGGGTTACCACCCGTGTGCCATGATGTTGATCCGTTGTTCAAAACCTTCAAAATCTTCGAACCTGATGCTTCCTGGTCATCATCTCTGGGTGTTCACCAACTCCGGGATCTCCTAGCAGGTTTGTTCAGTAACAAACATGGCCATTTATCCATGATGTACGATGTATGGTAGAGGTTGTGCATAGTGTTCTATAAAACTAGCTGATAACCATTAGACATCAGCTGTGCGGTCAGTTGGTCGTTAACTGACTGACTCACTGTCTCACTGACTGACTGACTGACTCACTGTCTCACTGACTGATGACTGACTCACTGTCTCACTGACTGATTGACTGACTGACTGACTCACTGACTGACTGACTGACTGGCTCACTGACTGGCTGGCTTACTGTCTCACTCACTGAATGACTCACTGTCTCACTGACTGACTGACTGACTGACTGACTCACTGACTGGCTGGCTTACTGTCTCACTCACTGAATGACTCACTGTCTCACTGACGGACTGACTGTCTGACTCACTGTCTCACTGACTGACTGACTCACTGACTCACTCACTGACTGATTCAATGTCTCACTTACTGACTGACTCACTGTCTCACTGAATGACTGAGTGACTAAGTGACTCACTGACTGACCGACTCACTGTCTCACTCACTGACTGATTCACTGACGGACTGACGTCTGACTCACTCACTCACTGACTGACTGACTCACTGACTGGCTGGCTTACTGTCTCACTCACTGAATGACTCACTGTCTCACTGACTGTCTGACTCACTGTCTCATTGACTAACTGACTCACTGACTTACTGACTGACTGACTCACTGACTCACTCACTGACTGATTCAATGTCTCACTCACTGACTGACTCACTGTCTCACTCACTGACTGACTCATTGACTGACGGACTCACTGTCTCACTCACTGAATGACTCCCTGTCTCATTAACTGACTTACTCACTGTCTCACTGACTGACTTACTCACTGACTGACTGACTCACTGTCTCACTCCCTGACTGACTCACTGTCTCACTCCCTGATTGACTCACTGTCTCACTGACTCACTGAATCTGTCTTACTGATTGACTGACTGACTCACTGTCTCACTCACCGACTGACTCACTGTCTCACTGAATGACTGACTCACTGTCTCACTCACTGACTAACTCACTGTCTTACTGACTGACTGACTAACTGTCTCACTGGCTGAATGACTAACTGTCTCACTGGCTGACTCACTGACTGACTGACTCACTGTCTCACTAACTGACTCACTCACTCACTCACTGACTCACTCACGCGCGCACGCACTCACTCACTCACTCATTCACACACTCACTCATTCACTCACTCATTCAGTAATTCCTTCATTCATTTGTTTCTTTGTTCGTTCAACACTTTTTTTCTTTGTTGAGTTCTTCATTCATTCATGTGGGAGATTCATTGTGTAATGTCGTCGTCTCACAGCTAGCCTTAAAGACCTCTTATCTATTATTAAACGCTTCATCTGGTGCCCTTTGTGCCCATGGTGTCCTTAACGTTCAAAGTCCACATCCGTGTTGATCGACACCTACGTCTTCTCACAGCAGTCAGCTACGTAGCATCACTGAGTCATAGCCTAGTATCGAAGCTTGAAATGATCATCACCATTACCATACTAACAAACTTTTTCATGCTGACTTTATGAAAATCCCAACAGGTATGAAAATAGGGGGCGCCTACGGACAAGCTAATACCAAGAAACAAATCCATTTAACTGCGACTAAAAAGCTTAACGAAAGGAATGGGACAATAACAACAATAACAGCAACACGCAAGAGAGAAATCTAACTTTATGGCAGGAGCCTTCATCGACAAAAACCACACCAGCATCAAAAGGGCAGAGTATCCTGATCACCAGTGCCCACCACTGGTATCGTTAAAGGCCCCTATTTAAACGTCAAATCCCCCCTCTCTCTCTCTCTCTCGTATGTGTGTGTATGTGTGTGTGTGTGTTGCTCCATCCCCTTTCTGACTCCCCCCTCCACCCTTGGCCCCCCCCACCCGTGTTCAGTGGACTAGGGGGCTGTGTCCACCTCGAGTGCTAGAGGTTCCGGGTTCAATCCCCGATAAGGGCTGAGATTTTTCAGGTGGACTTGGACTTCTAGTAATTCTCCTTGGTCTCTGTGTAGTGAGAACGGACGCCCGTGTGCATTGTTGGGCACATAAAAAATCCCTTGGCAGTTGGAAATCGAAAAGAGTAGCCTAACGGCGCTGCCCGGGCAAAATTTGGAGTTAAAAATCTACATAAAGTATTTCAGGATACTCGCCAGTGCTACAGGGCCTGTGCACTGTGCTGAGCTTTTTAGGACTCGGACTTGAGTTAGAACAAGAACAGAGCACCTGTGGGTTACTACCCGTGTGCCATGAGTGGACTAATGACTTCATTAGAGCCTAGCTGACATGACAGCCTACCTCAAAACACTTAAGGGCCGGATCACAGCAATCCCTCGCATGGCTACAGATGCCCCAGTATTTGGCACAGCATTTGTTCTTAAGGCCGCACTTCAGACGGTCCTCACACTGGTAGGTGTACAGACAAGGCTTGTGAAGGCTGTCGATTATACAAAAAGTATCATCAGGGTAGACGGTATTTTTGGTTCGACTTGTGAAAACTATGAAATATAAAATTGGTAGTCACTGCTGTAGAATACATAATAAGTATTTCCATTAGGGCTGTACCGAATATTCGCTTCGTATTCTCTTCGGGGCCGAATAGTTGTCCTAATAACTATTCGGTATTCGGCCGAATAGTTGCGGTAGGGCCGAATACGAGTAGTCGTTACCTTACACCCGCTTCTGGACTGGTGGAAAAAAAAACATACCAAGATTTCCCACCTTGGTTCATACTGTCAAGAGTTCTGTTTGTGCACCCCCTACGAGCGTACCAAGTGAACGTCTGTTTAGTACAGCTGGAAATACCTTCAGTGAGACAAGAAGCTGCCCTAATACTGACAACTAAGAACGATATTTTTTTTAAAGCTAATGCCGCTTTCATGGATTAACTAAGCTGTCAGTGACAATTTACAAGTTTGGTTACTTGTTATAAAACTAAGAATACTTTCATTCCTAGGTATTAGTTACCACAGACTGATGGACTTCTTCTTCTCTTCCACCTTGTACCTCATCGAAGTGTCGGGGGGAGATGTAATGTTCGTTTGTGAGCTTTGTCAAGAGCACTATTAAGACTGATGTTCATTTCTGTAAGGCTGTTCTTAATGCCATCACTCCATATTTTCCGAGGTCTTCCACTCTCTATACCCGTTGTAACTGACTGACTTCTTCTTCTTCTTCTTCTTCATTTCCTCTTTTACCGCTGTGGGTGTCGAGAGAGATATAAGGTTCTGTTTCTAGCTCTTCTGGCTGCCTCGACCATAGGCACATCGTGCTGTTGTAGAGTTTCTCTGATGTTATCCTTCCGTCTTGTTCTTGGTCTACCCCGTGCTCTACGTCCTTCTTCTCTTTCCATGTATGCTTTGTATGGTATGGTGTCACAAGGCATTCTCTCTAAGTGGGCAAACCATTTCACTTGCTGTCTTTGTATGTAATCCAGAATTGGTTCTGTGCCGACTTGTTCTCTTATGATCTCATTCCTGATCTTATCTCTTATGGTCACTCCTACAGCCCTTCTCAGACATCTCATTTCCGTGGTTACTAATTTTCTTTTATGGTTTGTTGTTAGTGACCATGTCTGGCACTGGTAGCACAGAGTTGGAATAAATATGCTTTGAATAAGATGTCTCTTTGTGCTGATTGGGATTGTCTTATGCTGTAAGACTGACTGACTGAATGATGCAAAACATGAAATGTTTTTAAATGTTTACTATTCTGTACTACATTTTGTGAAGTAAAATTTCAGCGTACATTTGACATTAAGGCTGTAAGTCCTGGACAGTCGGTAGGCAGGCCAAACAATTTCTTGAGGCCTCAGAGATGTGGTTTTACAGAACGATGCTTAAAATACATTGGATAGCCTAAAAAACCCAAGAGGTTTTGAAAGAGGCGGGAGCCCGAAGACAACTACTCACAGACATCAGAAGGAGACGGTCATCATTTTTCGGCCATGTTATAAGATGAGGGAAAATGGAACATGTGATGACCACTGGAAAGATCTGTGGAAGGAGGGATAGAGGAAGACAACGAGAGAAGATTCTTGACAGTCTTGTTGCATGGCATCGAGGTGTGTCAGCACACAAACTAATACATGCTGCAGGAGATCGCAGATTGTGGCGATGCACAATCGCCCATGCCAGTCGGTAAAGCACCTGATGATGTTGATTTCCTATTCGTTTTCGTATTCGGCCGAATAGTTGGTCCATATATTCGTATTCGGCCGAATAGTGAAAAATCCCCCCCCCCCCCCCCCCCCCCCCCCCCCCCCCCACCCCCCCCCCCCCCCCCCCCCCCAGTTTCTTTGGAGTAGGATGTATTAGGCGAAAACGGAAATTCATTTTTGTTGCTGGCTGCTTGTATACTGGCTTAAGGAAGAAACTGTAATTTTGTTGCAATGGCTGCCAGCTAAACGAGGTCATGAGAAGAGCTGGCATCTGTCGGAGTGTAGATGATTAGGGGCGATGACACAAAGACAGCAGTTTGGAGGTTGGGACTAAAACATTTCAGAGAAAGAGAGAAGTGCCCAACGAAGCCTAAGCATTGTTTAACAGCGTAACAATAATAATACTTCTTCTTCTTCTTCTTCTTCACGTTCACCAGCTGTACACTCTGGCGGAAAGTTCTGGTTGTTCGTCCACTACGGAACTGCAGTCCTGCTCCAGAACCTGAGTGTTGCGTGTGCATCAGTTTTACAAATCTCATTCTCTTGAATACAGACTGTTGGTTCCTTGCCTCTCCGGCAGATGCACTCTGACTTCAAAGGAAGCTCCCCAATTAGTCGACTCTTACGACATGCTTTTGGGTAGGCAGTGGGTCTATTCTTGTTTTCCCCTACAATGGGGCCCCGGAACCCACACGGGAGAATAATAATACTAATATTGAATAGCAGTTACGTCTAACGTATTTTAAATAATATTAAATGTTTAAACAAATCGAGAACATCGTGACAACTGGAAAGATCAGTGGGAAAAGGGGTAGAGGCAAACCAAGAGAGATGATGCTGGATGGGCTGAAACGATAGTATGGAGTGATACCATCAAGAGAGCTGTTCCAGGCAACCAGGGATCGTAATCTGTGGAGACGCATGAAAGCCTACGCCAGTTGACATGGCACATGATTATTACTTACTTACTTACTTAGTCGCTCCTCTTCTACCTTGGGGTGTAGAGGTTTGCCAGAGAGATCGCCAGACGTCTCTATCAGCAGTTTTCTTTCTGGCTTTGTTCCATTCCAGTCCTCTGTCAGTTAGGGACTGTCGGATGTTGTCTTCCCAGCGCACCCTGGGTCGTCCCGGAGGTCTGCTTCCCTGGTTCTTAGCCTCCCATGCTTGCCATGGTGGCCGATTTTCTCCCATTCTGCATACATGTCCAAACCATCGTAACTGTGACTGATCCACTCGGGTTAGTAAGGGCTGGGTATCAAGATCTTGACGTATTGTCTGATTGCGGACTTCTTCCCTTCTTGTCACTTGGACCACCTTTCTCAGGTATCTCATTTCCGAGGCCTGCAGCTGGCTTCTGTGAGCTGTTGTCATTGCCCATGACTCACACCCTCGGTTTATGGCCTGGAAGAGTCTCCCAGCAGCTGCTTTTCGTGTAGTTAGCTCAGTCTTATTGCCTCCATTTTTGTCTAATACAACTCCAAGGTATTTGAACTGGTTAACCTGCTCCAACGCATACTGTCCCATCATGATCTGGAGTTTCTTCTCCTCTCTTGAGATCACCATGGTTTTAGTTTTGGAGACACTGATGGTCATCCATTTCTTTTCAAGCTCTTCCTTCCAGACAAGTAAGTTGGACTGAAGGTGTGCCTCTGATTTAGCTATCAGGGCCACATCGTCTGCAAAAGCCAGCTCTGATATACAGATTACATGATTATTATGATAAACAAATACTTGAAATGAGAATTTCTATGCATGGGGGTTCGGGAGGGGGGGGGGCGTGGGGGACGGGTAGGGCTAGGGTACCGAATTGTGGTAGTCCTTTTACGAATTTTGTATGTAAGTGGGCTGAACCCAAAACAGGGGAAGGACGGCTCAAGGTACCTTAACCTCCAGGTTCCGGCTCCCCTTTAGAGGATATCAACGTATATATAAACGTATCTATAAACTGAGGCCCTATCTCATCAAGCAGTGTTTGACATGGCCTAACTTCCCTATGGGAAGGCATCAGGCATGTGCAACATTTGCAGCTACAAAGGGCATTAACATTGAGGGGGGGGGGGGGGGGTTGAGTTTAAAAAAAAAACGATAACTACTAGTAGCACAACATGTTTTTATATAAAGAAGGGGTATAAAATAATTGACTGCATGCACAGGGACGACATACATTCTAAAGACGGACACGGGAGACATATTCAAATGTTACTATAATATTATTATTGCCTACGAATACTTGGGCTGGCAAGGGGGATTGGATGTAGATTCGAAAAAATCCGGCCAGAGCAATCGAAAAGAAGGAGCAGGGGGCACTTTTGAAATTTTGATAGCTTTACTATACAACCTACGTATATGTCTGTTAGTCTGTTTCTCTGACATAAGAACTCTTTTCAAACTTTGAACTATAGACATTTGTACAATAAATTCTAGCTGTCATTTCTGGTAATCTGGTAATCTGGTAATCTGGTAATCCTAGTTTCAGCTTCATAGCAAACGGGTCACCCCATAGTTGCTCCGCTCCTGTGCCAACGAAATATACACGTAGCTCACAGTGTCACGCCATGCACTCAACTCAGAAGCTGGGCGACGAAACTATATCCTTCCAGTCTACAAATGGAGCAAAAATGCAACGGCCACCGTCTGGCAGGAAAAAAAAAAAGGTGGCCGTGCCTAGCGTCCATTTTGACCTGAAGATTTATATGAGGGTTAATAAACGGTCACCCCAGCAGTACTCTCATTATTAGCTGGGGAAGGGACTTAGGACATTACATCCACCAGCAGGCGTCGCGACTACAACGACCTGTCTGCCTTCGTTAACGACTGTTCACCCAACAGCCATGCAGTTCTTTGGCACGAAGGAGACACCTTGAACTTGGGTTTCGGACTGCCGACTCCCTACAAGATGTTATTTTATGTTTTGTTATCACACTTGATGTCACTGCACAATAGGCATACCCATGCGTGCTCAGTTCTCCGAAGCAGCAGCCACTCCAAAGTATTCTACTAATTGTCCCCATGAGAAGCTGATTATATCGTCTCCTTTCTCGGCCCCGAAGACGGCAAAGACGTGCATCATCATGCCTAACCATAATGTCACGCAATCGTGCCAGTGTCAGGGATTCCGGATTATCCACTAGCCCAGCCCGTACAGCGTTGACGATATCTGCTCTGTCCATACTTTTTCCCCAATCATTAGCGCTGTGCTTGCCAGTTGGTCCGCTCGCTCATTTCCCTTTACGCCCGCATGACCCGGTGTGTAGATCCAGATTACGGAGGTTAAGTGCGATTTCCGAATGCTTTCTATCCATTCAGAGCGCATACTGCCTGTTGCTATCTTCTGAAACATATTCATTGAGTCTGAGACAATTACTGCCTGTGTGGCGGTTTGCTCGGATACCTACGCTAAAACTCTAGAAGCAGCGGCTATTTCCATTGTCATGCTTGTAAGCGCCGCTGTCCTCGTGTATTGTTTTCCCCCTTCTTTGCGCTGTGTATGCCCATGCTGACCTTGATCCGCGCTTCATGGATCCATCTGTGTAGATGATGATATCTTCTGGGTCTGAATGCTGATCTTTCAGTTCCCTTACTTCTGTGTCTACGGCCGCAGGAATTTGATTCCTGCAGTACCTTCCGAGTGTGATGACAACCTTAGAGATGCCATGCATGTCTACTGGTGTATTCGTCCATTCTTTTCCGTGACTGATCACGTCTAGGTCACATACCTGCCTGATTAAATCCTCAGCCTTTGCCATCCAAAAGCGGCCTCTTTTGAGACGCGTTCCTTTTGTGTCGTGTATAGCTTTGTGCAATGGGTGGTTAACGTCTGCCGATACCCTCATGTAAGCCTTGACCTGTGCCACTCTGTATCTGCTAGTCATCGTCGGCAAACCCAGGACATAACGCATGGCGTTGCAGGAGGTGTCTTTTGTGCAGCCGAGTATGAGTCTCATGGCCTCATTTCTAAGCCAACTGTACTATTTTCAAGTTTTCTAATTCTTGCTGTAAAATATTGATTAACAATCACTAACAATAAACATTCACAGAGTTATTTCAATTTTTCTTTTTTTTTTTTGTTAGTCTGAATGACGTAAATGCATTACGCCTGTTTACAGCAGAGCTGCGATATTTGACCCTGTTAACCTCCCGGATAGTTTCGTGGTGCAGGGACACGCGTGGCCTTATTCGTGTGGCGTTCGTTTTGTCCCCTTTTATATAGGTGTTGCCCCTGGGGACCCACCCAAGGCATCCGCGTCTAGACAGGTCGGCCCACGGGGAAAGCAGGGGCGTATCATGGGCATTCCCCGCTATCCAGGACGGCTTCTATAAAATAGAGCTGGTCCTGGGCTCACCATAGGAATCGTCACCTCCTGCACATGACTGCTTAACCTCACATCTGTATGTTGAGCTTTCTAATCGGCATGGGCTGCATCAAGGTCGTCTCCTGGAGAAGGTCTTGGCTGCGCCCTCCGGAGATCAGCAGAGAGCAGCCCGCAAGTCCGGAACTTCGATAGCCACACAAATCGGTGTATTTTTCTTCGGTTCATTAGACACCTTTACCCTTTTGTTTCATCTGGGCATTTAGCAAGACAGTACAGCAAACGCATGCACCCGGCATGGCTCCCCC